TGAATTCGCAGAATAAACATTACGTTTTAGATTGAGTAATAAGTAATTTCTCTTGAGTCGACTTCTACTGATGACAATTAACATTTCTTTCACGAAATGATTATAAATGAACTTAATATTCCCTTGCCACTTCAAGTTTATTTTCATCGAACATAAATATTAATTAACATTTATATTTTATGTGTTTTCCATTAATATCAAATTCGAGTAATTAAAATAGCTGGATAATTCTGTTCAAGTTCTATAATTAAATTCTTTGAATGCGATCCAGAAGGTATCTATCTAAATTCCAAAAATTAATTAAAGTTACTTCAAATTTAAAAGTTATGAATCGTTCCGCCAGCAATGAACTTTTTAAACGGACGGTCAAAGTAGCTAATGCAGTGGAAGTTACTGCGTCGGAAAACAAAAAAGTAACGAGAAATGACGATCAGAGTCGAACATTACCTTCGTTGCTTTTGAGCGGAAAAGGGAATTTCTTCTTTCAAGTAACGCCAAAGTCGCTCGAAAAATGTCATGGTTGATTCACATAATTAACTTCGTCTCTGCTCTCACCAGTGGTGCTGAACGAACGATAAATGGAAAGGATAGCGCATGTTCTGTCAAAGTCGAACATAATTTTATGCTTTCATCGAATCGCTACAAACTATCATAACTTTCAAATAAACCTAACCAAAACTTGTATCTCAATGTTAAAGTATTGGAATAACAAATCCAAGTAAACCATAATTTTTACGTATTTTTTCATTCTAAAAGTTGACACCGTGAGACAGCATTAAAATTCTCTTCAAAAATGTCTTCTTCATTCCCTGTATTTACAAAGTCACCTAAGAAGATCGAAACGCCAAATTATAGATCTGTAACGTACTAAGAAGTGCCTCTAACGTTTCAAAACTCGAATAATCACGTTTGACAGAGTGTTGTGTCTTAATCAGACAGTTAGACGAAGGATAGAAAAGTTGTTCGTAAATTCGAGTCGGTAAGTGGCCGTGCAAGTTCGTTGCGAGACAGTCATTAAATGATTTCTCCATCTTGATAAGATAATCGAGCGCAGCCTCCAAGCCGTTGTGGTCGGGGCTGTTAGCCTAATGCAAGTTTTTATCCGAGGATAATGATTACAGAACAATCTTAAGAACCAGAGACGGATGATGTTACAATGAAACGAACGGAATTAATATCTCGGTCTGGTGAAGAATCACCGGGACCACCTTTGCTTTTATTTACTAATAGAGAATCTCACCAACGAGAACTGCTGTTTAAACCGGCGAGTTTCATCTTTCCAGCCGATCTTGTCGCTTCCACTTTCCAGATTCAGCCTCATTGGGAAAAGTAATTTGTTTCTCCCAACACGCAACACGGCCACGATAATATCTACTGACTCGATTCATTTACTCATTGGATTGTTATCCTTACGCGGTGCTTTCGTATCGTTCTATTCGATTTCTAGCCAGTGCCAGCTACGATCGGTACGCACGACTAAACGGTAAAACGATGTGCGAAACAGCGATGAGACCGAGTCCGACAAATTCTAATGAACTTTTTCTGATACAGGTATCTTAACACTAGAACTACAGTATCCGTCAAATGGCGGGTTTTAGTTCTCTTCTTTTTCAATTATTGATATTTTAAAAGTATTCAATGTCCGAAACAATTTTGAAAATAAATAGTTTCACTCAAATACTACAACGAATATCAGAAAAATACGAAAAAAGTGTATCGATGTAATCTTTATAAGGATTACATATCAATCCCAGCTCGACAGTCCTAGCGTTAATAAATTTATACACTTTATAGAGTGTAACACTTCCTTTTCGATTCCAATTCTTAATCACTATACAAAAGTTTCTCATAGATTATGTTCTGTGTTTAAAAATCACTGCTTTAACTCTACATCATATTCTAAAATTTCTAAAACTTTTAAAATCAATTTAAGAGTACCAATGAATTTTTTCGAATCAAAAGAAAGAATTGCATCACCAGTAGCTATACGTATGCAATCAGTCAATGTCAATGGATTATTAATTGAAACGATGTTAATAAAGCAAGCGTGAAGCATCATCAAGGACGTAACATTACTTGCACATCGCTCATCTGCGTGCAGCGCGAGTACGCAAACACCTGTAGCATCGTCAGCTTTCGATGTTTCTCGCGAAGCGGTTGGTCCCATCGCTGAAGAGAAGACGAATACCATCCGCGTGTAATTAGACTGTCGTAACCGGCGCGTTCTGGAGCGTTTCTTTCCGTTCTTTCCCCGGTGTTCGTTAAAATTTTGCCCGGGCATCATCCAGATCGTCGACGGGGAATATTTGCGGCCGACTTTCGCGTCCTATCCGTTCTAAGGTTTCTAAGGACGACGACGCTGGGGCCGGGTGTCGTTCGAGAAACTAGAAGGTTACCGGTTACTCCTGAAATAATTGCCTCCTTTGAATTAGCATTACAAAAGAGGAAGGCGGTATACGTATGCGAGTACGCGCTCGTTAAGACGCCAAGTTTTGTTTCGCTATCTGCCGGCTATTGTTTCAACATCGCTATCCGCCGGGCCCGGTGCGGCAAGCTTCCCTTCTCCCGTTCGCGGTGTCTTCGGGCCCCGATATTACTGGAAATTCGAAATACCCCTTATTATCCGCTGCCCCGGAAGATCCATGCACGGGGTAAGGTGGAAATAACAGTGATACAGTTCATCGGGACACGTTGGGGTACGGTCGTATTTGATAATTCGTTTCCTGTGCAAGATTACCGTAAGATTGTTGTGGGATTTTTATCATTACTTCAAATTATATGGTTCGAGTAATTTCTGCAAATTTCATTGAACAGTCAATGGAGATGAAATGATTTGTGCGATATAGATTGTTGAATTAATGAAGCTGTACCAAGATGATGGTTATTAATCAGAAATTGAAGAAGATTCTTTTATCAAATGACTGTCAATTTTTACTCTACATATAGAAACTTCGTTCCTCGATTTTTAGGGTAGTTTTGAAGCAAACTAATACAAAAAGCATATCGCAAGGTTCAATAATGTCAATTCAATTTAATGCATAGAACGCGCGAACTCTTCACAGTTCATCGACGGCTAACTGAAATCAATTTACAAGGTATAATTCTTAGGATAACGAACTTCTGTCTTAGTGTCCTTTTTTAAACGTCACCTAAAAGTCATCTGTTCATCGCCCGCGCAGTTCCATTCCCTTCGATTGGAAAAATGCCGTGGCATTTTTGCTGGTCACCATGATCGCCGAGCTCTGACAACTGTTAATAGCGAAATCAATCTCTTGCAGCCGCGGGTAAATCGGAAAGGGCGTAGGTGGGGAGGGTTGCAATCCTTGAAAGTAAATATTCGAGATCAACGACAACGATCGTCTGGATGATATCGGACGGAGAGTTGAACGGTGCCGCGAGTGAGAGAGAGTGAAAGTACATCATTATAATACTCATCGCGGTTCGCCCCAAAGGATTAACCATAAATTGCGCGTCGCATCAAATGCCAACTGGCAAGTTAATGACTACCGTAATCATTTTGAAAGTCCGGTAAATCGGTGAACCGTGAGAATGAACAAGATGTTCCCTACCGTGTCCTCCGTTCGCGTTGCGTCATACCCCTCGACAACATGATGCTATTTGTTTCTTCCGACAACGAGAGCTCCGGCCAGGGGCCGTGGACGTCCGATTGAATGTCACTGAGAGAGCTAACGTTTCCAATGTGACGCGAACGTTTTCTCGTTCTCCCCCCGGCGCACGGGACCGTTAATAGCACTACCCATTTACCACGGCCAGGATTTTGATTAGGATAACCGTTCTCGCGGGTAATCACTGGGCGAGAGCGGCTTCGTGCAAATCTCTAGAGCCCGCATTATCGCAATTGAACGCGACTGTTTTCCTGGCCACCTCTGTTAATGGGCTAATGATTTAAGACTTCGAGCGGTGACCGTCTCTTTTTTGCGACTGGGTATCGAAAGGTTGAACGTTGGTTTATTTGTGACATCGTTTATACGAGTAATTTCTTTTTAGTTTATTTGAAATTGAGCTTTCTTTTATACTGGAAGATGTCATGAGATAAATTGCTTCTATGATAGTCGATGTATATGAATGTGAAGACAGGGAATTTTGTTTTATACTGATTGATAAATAATTTATGTTTATATTTTATTCTATCTCACTGTATTTATGATATTCGTACATAGTTTAAATGATTGAAATGTGTAATATACTGACTCACTTAACTATTTACTATATTTACATTACTAGTTAGATAAGTGGTGTTTACGTGATATAGAATGTAATTTATTAGGGTGAGTAGGGAATAACATTACCTAGAAACGTTAAATATGTAAACAATACAAAATATTATTAATTGTTATTCAGTCGGATATTAACGGTAGTATAATACTAAAAACGTATAAATAAAATGATACTCGTTTACTTTATTTTTAGTAATGAAACTATATCATACATTTTGTATAGTATTCCTGTTAGATACACGATGGAAATTATTAAATTACGTTTCATTTAGAATAATATATTATATTTTATATCTATATATCTAAAATTTATTACGTGTAGATAAGAAAATAATGACATGATCAGCAGGTTTGGGAAAATGTTCTTTCACAAGCCGAAATAGCTCAGTTGGGAGAGCGTTAGACTGAAGATCTAAATGTCCCTGGTTCGATCCCGGGTTTCGGCAATTTCTTTTTTTTTCTTTTGGAAATATATTACTCACGTTAAATTGTTTGTAAATTATTTTGCAATGTATTATTTATTTTACAAAATATCTGCTTAACACTATTTTTATTTAATTTTATTTCAAGTATAGGAACAACATTCTTCTTCTATAACAAAAAGACAACTATGAATTAAATACATTAAATAATTATTAAGCTTTGATAATACGTGCTTTAATAATATAAGCAACAAAATTATTCGATTATTTTAAACAATTAAAATATACTTACACAATGTTTTTAATTCTGAATATGAATATCTTTCATCCTTTGTTACAGAATCATGTACAAGATCCTGTCAGTGATGGCTTACTTTGAAATACTCATATTTCTGTGTAAGTATTTTCATTTTTCTTTCTACCTATCGAACAAGTATGTGAATCAGTTCTTGCATTTACGTAACACAAGCCTATTTGAATCAGACTTCCACAAATACTAATGAGTACTTACGCACAGAATTTCTTCATATTCCTTTGCATATTTGGCAATTCTTTCCTCAATTAATATTCATTAAAAAGAAACCGTTATACATTCCATGGAAATATGTAAATATTCGTTTCCGAAAACTCGACACTTATAGATTCGTATGTCGTTCTGTTTCCAGGTTCGGTGATTAGTTTCGTCCCCAGCTATTGCAAAGCCGAGGTGATTATGTCGCAATACATTTATATATTTAATTAATAAATATATAAACATAGAGTGCTCCACGCAACTAGTTCACCCTCGATAATTTCTAAAGTATGCATTGTATGAAAAACCTTTTGATAGAAAAGTTATATGGTTCGGAGGGATACATTATTTAATGTATATATTTTTTTTACACGTGGTGGTGTTTCGGAGATTTGAAGGTCAACTTCGTTTTTTTAAATAGAATACTATATTTTTTATACCAAAATATCGAAGAACGTTAAATTTTTAGTAACAAAGTGCTGATCTTTATTAGCTGTAAATCTAATAATTAACGAATAATTTCACTTTGTTTCTTGAAAATGGTTTATGCGTAGTATCAAGATAGAGATTCAATACCAGCAAAGATTTCCGTATGATTGCGGAGTTTACGTGATAATGTTTATCAACATGACTGATTCTGCGTATGGAATTATAATCGTCTTTTCTGTCCGTTATTCTGTATTGAAGTTATCATCAATGTTTATGCGTGACTACCTGAATAAGATAACAGAAAATATTGTATTAATGAACGATCGTATCAATATGATGATTGCCCGCATATTACGCATATGTAGCAAGGCAAGTTCTGGACAGACAATTCCCTAATCGATCGATCGGTCGTGGTAGAGAATTTCTGTGACAACCACACTCACCAAATCTAACACCGCTGGAATACTTTCTATGGGATACATTAAAAGATATGGTGTATCGTGAATTAACAACAACACCAGAGAATATAAAAGAACGAATTTATGAACCATGTAGTATGCTTACTGCAGAAACAATTCAAAGTGCAGTTTCCTCGTTGATTAATAGATTACATCAATCTATTAACGTGAATGGACACTACTTCAAACACCTATGTTAGCGAATGAAAGAAGCCCTATAGAAACCTTTGCTGGTATTGAATCTTCAACTTGATATTATACACAGACTATTTTTAAGAAACAAAGTGACATTATTCGTTAATTATTAGGCTTACGGCTAATAAAGATTAGTATATTTTTACTCAAAATTTAACGCTCTTCGATATTTTGGCATAGAAAATATAGTATCCCATTTAAAAAAATGAAGTTGACCTTTAAATCTCCAAAACGCCTCCACTTGAAAAAATATATGCATTATATAATCTATCCCTCTAAACCACACAACTTTTCTATACAAATTTTGTTATACAATGCATACTTTAGAAGTTATTAGGTGAATAAGTTACATGGATCACCCTGTATATTACAATGTTATAGAAACTTTTAATAAAAGACAGAGGGTTTTTCTCACTTACCCAACCATTTGTACTTTTCTCAAGCTCTCTGTTAATTAGTTAATTGATCCTTACATAAGAAACATCTTTCCAACCATTTTACAAAATATCACAGAATCAATTTTTATATTAGAAGCAATATTCATAAAATTGATAATCAATGTTCTACTTCTATGTAAAATTCTGTTTCTTAAAAATAGCGGAAAAGTGATCAAAAATTTTTAATCGTCAGTTTAATTCACTTTAATCACAATCATTTAAACTAAAGACATATCTATTTAAATTAAAAAGAAAGTTATTTCCGTCATTTTATTTTTAAAAATGTACTATGGTACTTATCAATTTAATTAATAAAGAAGAATCGAAAGAAAGAAAGGAAAAGAATGTTAAAAGTAATGACAAATTTTGCTTTCTCCAGTTATCAAATTAAAATACATTGTATGAATTTTCAGTCAGAAAATAATAATAAAAAGGCGAGTTTGCCGAAATTCTTAACCGAATTGGATTTGTCGAGCGTGGAGGTGTCTGCAGAAAGTGGCGAATCGTTGAAAACAATCGTGAAAAGACTAGCGCCGGAGAAGAATGGCGAGTACCAAGTTTACCAAGGTTCCGAACACTTCTATTGCTAACGCCGAAACGAACTATTAACTCTCCCCCGTTCTGCCTCTAACGTACTTTCTTCGCGTTTCTTTCCCAGTCTTCTTCGGCAACCCGGATCTTCTCAAGGAATGGCTCAAGGGAGCGGGTATTATTATTAATACTATTACAAGCACTGGCATCGCTTTCTCTTTCCAGCTTCCTACCTCTTAGAATGAAGCGCATGCATCTAGTTAGTATTCTTTTGAAACTGATCGATGTGACAACCGATCCTTCTGATCGCGGAGGGAAATTGATATCGATCGATGGGAACAGAAAACAAGGAGGAAACAAGTGGAAAATTGGGTTGAAGGAACTTGTTATTGTATAGTCTTATAGGAATATACATATATTTTTCATTTGATTACAATCGAAAATTTCTTTCAATTGTTTATAAATAGCAAATGGTACTATATGTATAGACAATATTAATATTTAATGTTAATAAAGTAATATAATATTTTTGTGTTCATTAATACGTATTACTTGCATGAGGATTGTATTCGTTGATGGTTATTTTGGTGATGAAATTTTTTGTGTACAAATTTTTAGAATTGACTTTGTTGGAGAATAATGAGGATTCGGAAGTGTTTGTTGACAAAGTTTATTGTTCCTTTTTTCAATAGGCGTGACAGGGCAGCCCGGTGTCGACTTTCCAGCTCTCACAACGATTCCCGCCACTTCGTTCAGCTGCCGCGGTCTGAAAGGTGGTTACTACGCGGATCTGGAGACAAATTGTCAAGTAAGTAATGAATGGCTTAATATATCTTACTCAACGTAATTACCTTAATCAAATGCAAGATCCAACGTTGCGCAATCGCGATTCGTTCGCGCGCCGCACACAACTAAGGCTGAACTAAAGAATAGGATGAAATATTTCAAACATTTCCGCATTATGAAGCTATTCTTGTTTGAAACCTCATTTTCTCCCTGGTATTCAGAAATTAACATAAAAATAGCATCGCCAGGAAGTTCAAAACCTTTTATATATCCCTAAAGAAACTTAGCCCAGTTTTTAAATGATTATCTCGTGTATCCACTTAAGAAAATTATTATGTGCAACGAATAAAACATTACATCTAAAATATCCGAAGACCAACATTTTTATTATCTATTGACATCATTTTTCTAAAGTTCGAAAGTGTGAAAAATTTTTATTTGTGTTTAATTATTTGTGTATAGAAGTTAAATGATACTTACTCTTAGTAAGTAATTAAAAACGAATCAAGTTCTCTTAATTCATCAAAAAACGCGGGATACCATAAGGTCGAAATAATACAAAACCACGATTATTCGTTCCAGGTGTTCCATATTTGCGACAACGGCCGGAAGATATCTTTCCTCTGTCCAAATGGCACCATCTTCCAGCAATCGCAACTGATTTGCGATTGGTGGTTCAAGGTGGACTGCAGCAAGTCTGCAGAGCTGTACGAGCAGAGCAGCGAGCAGTTGCTCGAGGAGGAACGTAAGCGAGCAGAATCGAGGAAATCAAAATTCGAATATCAACAGTCGATTGAGTCTGGTGGACAGCAGGACTACTACGACGTTCAGAATCTCAGTTACGATGGAAAACAAAATGGCCGAATAAAGACATACGAGGAACCTCCCCTGGAGAATCAGGTGCAAGATAGAATAAAGACGTCTAGATTCTTTGATGCTGGTAACAATTTCAGCCAAGAGAATAACCAAAGGGATGGTACCCAATTCCATGGGAACAATGGCATTCAAAATGGCCAGATCCCCAGCACGAAGGCCCCATTGAGCCATTTTACTAGAAACACCGAAGAAGGGAACGTGAACAAATACTCAACGACAAGTCAAGATTTCTACAGCACTCCCAAAAAAGTGCAGAATTATCACATTGCCCATCGCAACTCGAATAATCAAGAGAAAGGAGTACTGAAGAGACTAAAATTCAAGAGTCACGCTAGGAACAATTCCACTTCGACAGTTTCTCAGAGAGTCACTCCGTCTTACACAGAATCGACCACGTTCAGAGCCAGCAGTACAACTCCCGTAAAAGAGTCTCAACAATTCGCGGAAAGCGCAGCTTTCGTTAGTAATCGTGGAAATCGGTTTGTCGAGAATAATGGAAACTCGCATCAATATTATTATCAATTGTACATTAACCGTGAAACTACTACTAGAAGTGCCGAATTTGAGTCAACCACAGCTACAACAGAAAGAGAGGACATATCCACTCAAAGGAATGACTTCTCGTTCACAGATGCTACATCGACCCCTTACTATGAAACAACGACGCCATACTTTACGACTACTACTGTTTCACCCCCATGCAATGACGAAGCTACCACTGAAAACGTCGCAACTGATATTCCAGCTACTACAGAGTCCCTTCAGTTCGCCAACAGTAACTACAATTACGGAAGCTACAATTACAGGAAATCGGAATCTAGGAGCACTTTCTCAGATCCTAATTATTACAACAACAGAAACACAAATGGCGCGACTGTTCCGTCAACGACTCAGATTCAATCCTTTACAGATAGCTACCGTCAGAATACTGTAACGCCCGATTCTAATCAGCATAGGTTCACTACAGGCAATTTCCCATCCCCAGCTACTGCGTCTGTTCGTTTCAACAATTTTGGACACGGCACCGAGAGTCCGACGACACGCATTCCTTACGACAACCAATACAGCAGATCGTTCAGCAAGAACCCATCCACAGCTTCACCAGGCTATCGACAGAACTTCATCAGTTCAACCACTGAGAAACCGTACAGAACAACAGCAACTTATCAACAGAATACCGTTACTGAGAAGGATTTAAGTCCTTACGACAGAAGCTTCACATATAAGCAAGGAAAGGTGATGTCCACTTTGGGCCCTTACGTGCCTTTTACTAGGAACTACGCCACCTCCAGCACGTCCACGCCAAGACCCACCCCTTATACACCTACGGTACCCACTCCAGCAAAGACTTTGATACCCAAGCTGAAGTACCCTGCCCCGACTGCATTGAGCAAACTCAAATCAAGTCGCTTCACTGAAAGAGAACACGCGCTGAATATGCTACACTCTTTGAGGAATCTAGAGAACAATGTTCCTAACCTGACCGATCCACTTAGAGGAGACAGAAGTTCTAACATATCTGCGCCTCCAGCTCCATCCACTTTACACTCGCTGGCTTTATATTTCTCCACGGCTACCGAGAACTTTGACTCCAAGGAGACTACTGATTCTTCGATAAGCGGTGAGTCTGAAGAAGATACCACGAGAATCGTTTCAAAAAAAAGCAACGGGACTGTCCACGTGCCTACTAACCTTCTAACACAACATACTATTGACTCCTATTCTGATTTGTTTAAATTAAACGACGGAATTGAGAACAATAACGTGACCACGGATGATCGTTTCGATAAGGAGAACTACGGCGATGATTATAATGAGGATCTAGAGTTGCAGCAGAGTGGAGGATCTTTGGATAATCTTAGGAGATCGAATAGTACCAGACTAAGGGAAATTGCTCAGGTATTCACGCATGCTTTGTCTGCGTATCTTCTTGATCCGGACACTTTCAAGAAGGTACTCACTGAGATCAGACCAACGGAACCACCGAGGACGACGCTGGACTTTGATCTGTGGAAGACAACGACGGAATATTCGGTAATACCGGATTACACCTCTTCTAACAGAGAAAAGGACGAGGTTCTAGATTTCTCGGATGATGGCAACGACATCAGACAAAAGCTGACTACAATGTACCCGACTACCTTCGATCCACCTACTACGGTACCAGAATCTGCTTACGACATCCTCAGCACTGTGCCAAGTACTTATTACACTACCCCAAGGGCAGGCAATTCGGAAACTTACGAACCAAGCACTAACTTCGCAACCAATTCTGTGACGAGTAACTATTACGAGACCACTGTTGCTACAACTGAGGATACTGCACCCACGGAACAAGGTAGCACATCGTACACAAGAGATTCGAGTGCTTTCTACGATGAGAACATCGAGGTAGATAGAAACAATGGTAAAACACAGGCGGTAGATAATCAGGTGCCTACAGATGAGGCTGGAACACAGAATCGAGTCGGTGGTTTTCAGAATAACAGTGTGAATATAGTCACCGAGCCTTATAAGGAAGAAAGATTATTTGCTACAACGCCTATAAGCGAAAATTTAGTGATTTCACCAAGCCCTTCGCCACCATCTTTATTAACGCATACGATCAGTCATAATTGGAGCAAGAAACCAACCAGCAAGAAGCCGGAACAGCAACTGACACCTCCCTTTTATGAGAGTTATGCGGAGACGATTCGAAAGGAGAACGAAAGAGCAGCTCTGAATCCTGAGAGCTATTCCAGCACACCGATGTCCATTCAAAGTGTTCGTTCTACGACTCCCAGCTACCCGACTGGTTACCAAACTCCCGTGGATCATACTTTCAGATCCAATTATCAAAGATCAGAGCAAGGACTTCCTTTCCCCACGTCACGCACCAGTTACATGAAATTCAGGACTGTGTACAACAACATCGAAGCATCGGAGAGACCAACGACGCCTAGATCAACGACAGAACTGACGACTCCAATAACTACTGTAGAGACTACACCTTGTTCGCATACGGAAACGACTGAGTCGTTCGAGTCTACTAAGTCAAAGGAGAAACACAATGTTCTGACTAATGATCATTGGACTTCTTCCCCAGCAGTTACTCATCTTTGGGAGACCTCTGTCTTTGTGGACCCTCAGCGCATCAATCAAGGCCTCGAGTCAGACGTCAGCACAACGGTGTCTTCAATTATAGATACTATAACAGGAAGTCAGGAAAGTTCGGAATATGAAAACACACCTTCCCTAGGCGATGATTCATTAAGTAGCACCGAGGAATCTAGCAACGAATCAGAGTTACCACCTGCGCCGCAGAGACTGTCGAGAAACAAAGACAGCCCCACAAGCTTCTCGTTGCTACCCACATCTCCAGCTGCCGAGGACACAGTGACACCAAAACCTCTGATCACCACGAGGTCTAGTATCACTACTACCATAACATCCTCTGTCACGTCTACTAATACTCTGCCTCAAGAGACCCTGGTCACCTCCTTGCTACCATACACCGTGGTACCAAACTTGAACACCACTGAAAACGAGATCGCGGAGAATCTTTTCGGTAAACTGAATGCTACCAGCAGCAATACCTTGATGAGGGTCATGAAGCAGGCGGATAACAATGAAACCGTCAGGCAGTTGGTCCTGTTGCTTGTCCGTCATTGCAACGATCCAGTGAACAAGACTATGCAAAAGGAGAAAGAGGAACTACTGAACGCGTTACTCAGATTGCCCGTGAACGAGTTCGCTGCTGAGGAGTCTAGGAATATTGTGGCAGGGATCAATCAGCTGAGCGTGTCTCCTAAAGCGGCTACCAGGCCTAGGAGTGCTACTACCAGTCTCAAGATTGCTACCACTGAGTCTAAGAGTTCTACCGCTAGTCCGTTGGTCACTGAACCGATAGTGACCACGTACAGAAGTAGAAAGAGCCGGAGATTTAGGACCACCACCGAGAATTCTGCTAACCCGATTAGACGATCGGAGAAGGTGCCGACCTCGGAAGCCATTAATTCGCTGCAAGAGGACCAGACTTCCGCGTCTGACGGTAGAGCGCTGGAACTTCTCAGATCCCTCTACACGATAGCCACGAAATGGGGGTGAGATTGCAGGGCTCGAACAGGAAATTAGGGGAACGTTTCGTGTCGACGGGCTTTGGAAATGAATCCCTTCAGATGTGTCTTTCTGGACGGAGAACATTCTTTTCAAGTAGATCCTTAGACAGATCTGGACATTGTTTGAACACCTTCATTTAGATGATTTATCGAATATTGAATTATTTGAATGTAATAACCAATAGTACTATAGTATTGCCGATGGTGAATGGGGTAGGGTTTAGCATTATTGTTGATGTTATGTTACTATAAATTTATTTTTAACGAGTTGTGAGTTCAACTTATTAAACGATAGGTATTTTTGTGTTTAAATTATTTTGTTGCTTAAACTTTGATAACATAAGGTTCTGTTTTAATTTTGAATTGATTACCAACCTTGGGCAATAAGTTTGTATAATCAATCCCGCAGTATGGTCGGAGGAACATAAATCATAAATTATTAGGAATAATTCACTGTTCGAAATATCACTCTTTATGTTGTGGTTCAATTGTCCAGGTCTGTTCTCGTACAATTCGACTGTCAATGTGAACACTTCTTTTCATTAATTCTTTCATGTTTTTTTCTAACTACATTCCACTTTTTAACTAATGACTACCGTGTTTGAATACCTTCATTATTCGTTGCAGCTGCATCGATAAAACTCGTACTTTTTCAAATTTATTACCATGCAATTTTGAAATTTAGGTTTATCGAGTTGAGGCGTTAGCGAACTTTATTGAACGATTCCCAATTAATTTCAATTGGTGCAACCGATACCGCAGGACGCATTCGTTTCTAATTAAAATTGGAAACAGTAAATTCTTTCTAAATTCCATTATTCGATCGAATCAAAATTTTCACCAAACAATATGTAATATTCAAATTTACTTACAAGAATATAAATCAATCAAGCATTGAGTTTCTCAGTTAAACATTCATCAACAGAAAAATAAAATAAAATCTCAGTTTACCTTTGTATGTATGTAATGTATTTACTCGATTGACCATAAATTTTCTATTTATTCTTCGAGGTGAACGCGTCAGAAAATGAAATTTCTTGGAATTCATTCGCTAGATTCTACGTCGTTTATGCTTGCAACTGCACCTGATCGTAACAGTATTACCTTGCATTACGTACAAATATGTATGCTGTATTATAATCGTTGTACATCCTCTGTTGAATAAATAAGGATTCCCGATGTGTAGAATTAATAATAATCTGCCTCCACATGGTACGCGAACAAATGGTCCGTGGTCTGCGACTACTTCACCTGATGAAGAAAAAGAGAAACCTGTCGGAAAGCAACTTGGATTACTTAAGATCGTTATAAATTTTGGTGTTGGTTGTTCCTTTACGTTTGGGTATTTACAATTATTATACGGGATCTATAATAGGTCGAGAATGTTCCTGAAATTCTTTTATCATACGAAAACGAATAATATCGTTGTTATCTGCACTGCGTTTTACTCAAAATAATTTTTCTATGAAGCTCTACACTAATCAACTCACAAAATGTCGTTAGATTTAAAAACTGTTATAATACAAGTGAACTACGTTGACAATAATACGAAGCACATACTCACCTTTTTAAATCTAATTTTCACCCAAGAAAACCTCAAACACCACTTCCGAATGCTTCATCACGTTTTGACTTCTGTCTTCAAGGAAGTGATACTAACATTTATTAACACACTTGTTGTTTCGCTTGTACCTTACACGAAAGACGCTATCTTTAATCTCTTGTGACAATGCTAGTTAGAAAATTGTCATCTTGCGTAACCATAGTTATAAAGTTTCCTACAATGGTCAAGTCTTGACAAAATACTTGATAAAGGTGCGAAAAATAATCTCTTGAAATGTTATCTATTATTTTATTATTGTTCAGAATGTACACAGCTATATGGGAACATATTTTGCAGAAACTAATGTGTAAATAACAAAAATGTTACTCTTTCTCTGATAATGAAAGCTTTTTAGGAACTTTTTAGACCTACTAGACATGTATCAGATCGTTCCATAAACAGTATCGTTCCTTTTTCCATCTTAAATGTTACAGATGCATCATAGTGCAATATTATATGAGCAGTCAATATATCAGTACTTAAAAAGTCATTATGTAGAATATGATAAAAGTTAATCTGAAAATGGCACTAATTATGAAACGATCGGATACTTTCGAAAGTTTCTCATCTTAAGGGCTCGTACGAGTTGTTGAAGAAAAAGAAGAAGAAGAAGAAGATATAGTAATACAAAGACGATGGACTGTACGATGTTTCCTTTATTCTACTTAATTTTATCGTAGGAATGCATTCAATTGTGCTTCGCTTGAACAAAGTATTCGGAATCGATGTTTAACTGTAGATCACCGTCTATTACATAATCACAATGGACATCGTTGACTTTATGTAAGATACATTTGTACAGAATGTGAATGAATAAAAAGGGGTTTTGTTAATGTTTACGCGTGTCGTTCAGTTGATTCTCGATGATCCGGTGCGTGAGAAAGGGAATGATCTCGATCGAGAGATGTATCACATTTACATACTAAGTAAAAATCGTATCACATTTATATACGCACTATCGCATTATCATCGCTGGCAAATTCTCATCGTGGTAAAATTATAAAATTCATTTGTCAACCGATGCAAATTTATCAGCAATCACTTCATGGTTTTGTTAATCTCATCGTTGTTCATTTTACAGGCAAGTACCGACAATTTTGCTTGAGTCCAAATTTGATCGCGTTCACGGCTATTTTCCTTGTCATGCTTATGGATTAACGGTTTTTACCGACAAAGAGAAGGATACATTAAATACGTTCGTTTTCAATGTATTGTCGACAGGCCAAACGTGCTCCTCGATCCAATCTAAGAACGAATGCACAGCCATGTAGACGCCTGGGACCGACGTGCCACATGATTGACTGAAAGCTGTAATCCCGATAACGCTTTCGCTGTTTTCAGATATCATTAACAATGGCCCGCCACTGTCTCCTAGACACGCATCGGATCTTCTACTCTCGTTTCTGTCAATCGCACACAATATGCTGTCGTCGAAGCCGCGAGGCAATTTGCGAAATCCTTCGTAATACTTGGAGCATTCTTCTCTGTCTACGATACTGAAAATGAACGAAAATAGAATTTACAATAAATATGCAGATATATATTACAGATAATAATATACATCTAGAATTTACATGGAGTATATTATAATATGGAATAAATAATATAGATTAGAATTAAATATTATTAAATATTATTAATAATAATGTTATTAAAACTTATATAGATAACAGAATTTTATATATTAGTCGTGGTAAATCAAGATTTTACTAATCTTCGGTTATTCCGAACCAGACAAAAGTGATGAAAATTTTATCAAATGAAAAGTAAAAGTCTTTATGAGTTTTTAAGGAAAAATAAGATTCGTAAGTAATCTATTTTCGAGTAACAGTGTATAGTCCATCGATGATTATTAATGATAATGGAAAATGAATTATACCTGATACTTGGTGTTCTCATCAGCTTATTAGATGTAGAGCTATCAAAGCTCGTCAAACCCCATCCAAGCACTATGAAAGACGTATTCGATGTTATATTCACGGTAGCTAAGGATTTAGTTTGAAGGCAGATAGGTTTAACTGAAGTTGAGGCCTGTACCTTTTGTTTTAATTTTAAAACGGCCACATCGTTATAATTTATATTGAGTGCATAATCCGGATGGTACATTATATCGCTAATGGGGATACGTTGTACATTATCGTCGTCGCTGGTTAGGTCTTCGTTGCCCAATCTTACCTATAATGATGCAACAAATCTAAACATTCCATTCCTTTTGACAATTATTATATTACCATGGATACAATTGCTGCAAGAAAATTATCTTAACTTTATTATACAATACTGGGTCACAGGGAATCCAGAGAACAATATTTGTTTCCAAATTGTATTCTAAGTTTTATTCTTCAATCATTGTTTCATTTCGTCAATGAATAATTAAATTATATTTAACATATTAAATAATTTTCTTAACCCCTTACCCTACTTTATCCTTAATAATTTATTAGGAAAAGAACAAATTTTGTTACTTATTATATCGACGTTTACTCTACGAAGGATAAAAATTAATAATATAACAATAAAAAAAAATAATAACAAATAACTAATACTCAGGTTTCTCGAAATCAATTTAAAATTTTCGTCACGAGTCTGACACGATATTGTAGGTCAAGGAGTTAATAACCTTTATAGTCTTAATTGGATAGCTTTCTTATTGAAAGAGAAATCACTTTACTAATATAATAAACAAGATATTCTATTGCAGTACAATTGGAGTACGGAGTTATTTACGTTTGTGCATAACTGTCTTTAAAGAATTGTTTCGCACTTACTTCAACGGGAACTCTTTTATTTATATTGTGTACACAATGCGCTGCAGTTAAAACGTGCTCAAAAGAAATCAGGCTACCCCCACAGGTGTATTTGATTGGTGGACCTTCTTCGGGATTTTCGTTTTTATATCCCAGTGCAACCACGTACGGAAAGTCTTTGGATTTCGCCGCTATGCCATCGAATATGTGATACGACAATGTGTTTGTGTATTCCTCGCAAGCTGAAAATCATATTATAAGGCACAATTCAAAGAATAAACCTTTACCATTGATCCACTGTTACTATTACCATAAATGTTTACATTCTGATGTTTTATATTTGTGTTACTTTATGTTACATTATTATTACAGTATAATTGCATTTTATTAAAATACTATTTATATCACATATCACGTTACTATTTAGGAAGTAAGTAACCAATTGTTTTCTTTATAATGTATGATAACGATATCATTTAAATTCAAGGAATCTCGTGTTCTTCTATTTTAAGAAATATAAATCGAGACTGTTGAGGAATATCAGATTTGTCATGGTAAACCATTTTTAGGAAACCAGGACTTTATACTTTCTTCGATGTAAATTCTTTATGTAACAAAAATGCTGTATTGTTTATCGTTCTATCTAAGAAAATATTTAGTAACTAAATCATTCGAGGACAATTTATTGACTGCTTTCATCTGTCTGATTATTACTGTTCTAAAGAAATAATTTTAGAATTTCGTTGTGTTTTTGGAAACGTTCAAACCAGTGTACTATCCATTGTAAAACCAGTATACGTTATTTGAATGTAAAGTAGGACAGCGGGTTGCAAGGAATATTTTAATAATATATGGTAACAGCAAAAATGCATATATCATCTGTGATGGGGTCCGATTTGCATGCTCTATTTAAAATTTAAATGTTTGATCTTTCCTCCGTATGTCTACATATGAAATGACAATTGTGCACGTCTAATAAAACTAAGCATATTTTTCGTGACTAATTTTATTCCTATATCAGGATGTTTCGAAAAACATGGTCCGGCTTTGTTTACCCTGTATCCTCGCAATAAAAGTGTTATATTCGAAAATGACTGACTTACAGATACTATTTTTATCGTAGATATTTATTCATATTAACGGTTATTCGTTGTTATTGTTATTGTCGTTAAGTTCAGTTAAAATAGTAAGAAATCTAATCGACGAACAAATACTCCAATGAAACTAAAAACGAATGTTTTGAAAACAAAGATCTGTAAAAAACAAATTTTAAATGAACGGATAAATTATTTTCGAATGATTTATCTGTTGTTTTATGATTTCATCTGGTAACGTAACGTTACAACTAAAAGCAACGTTGTTATGCAATCGCGGAAACTAAGAAAATAAAAGGAAGAAGAGACATGAACATTAAAGTGTAAACATTCACGATACAAACAGTTTCAAAAATCTGTCAGTTTGGATAAGAATTCTATGATAGGTTAACAAAATATTAACAATGAAATCTGACTTTTTTAATAATAATTTAATAAAATAATGAAATGTTAAATGTTCGTACAAAATACAAGATTTCTAGAAAAAAAATTTGATTAAAATAAGAAATATGAAACTATGAAGCATGCCGACGAGCCTCCGAATTTTGTGTTCAATGCAAATTTCTTCTTATTGTTTTAAGATGGTACTGAAGACCGTATACAACTTGCAACCTTGCCTACCTATTTCTTTTTCTGGTTATTATCAACATGGAATCTACAAGGTCCACGAGTTGAGATCAAAAGCCTGTAAATCGTCTGTTATCGATATCGTATGATCAGTAAGAATTTCGCGACTCGATGACGAAGACAGGTAAACTTGTTATTTAAATAATCGATAACCTTGTGAATTAAATAGTTTAATCAAAATGTAACCTTGAAGATGCTTCGAAAATTTGAATTTAATTCATCATGTTTTATTCATTCAACAAAATTCAAAATTTAAAATAATTAATTGATTCGTGTAAACAGCATATTTAGAAACCATTTTTCATTTTTGTTACATTGCTAAAGGTCGAAAACACGTGTGCTTAAAGTAATCGTTAAAATTAGCAGGCAAGAAGAGAAAGAATATAAATTGATATGACCATTCGTAGTTTACTTGTAACCTTATTAAACTAGAAATGCTAAAAATGGAGTACTAAGTAATGTAATACTGTAACATATGATAAAAGTCGTATCGATTCTTGTGTTTGCCAGCGTTTACAAGTTAGCAAAGCAAAACACGAATTTCAATCAAAAAACAACGTCTGATAAATAATTCGAAACTTTCGTATACTACACGATTTAAATAGAATGTAATGCACTTGTTTTCTGTACAGATATTGGTGACTCATACGCTCGCGTAAATTTCTTTGCGCCATATAATCGACGCAATTATGTCATAATTGATACTGTACCGTCTCGTTACCAGAATATTAATTTCCTCGATTATTTTTATGCCAGAAAAAACAGTTATTGGACTTCTAAACTTCACTTCGGTCGTGTCAAAACATATCATTGCAAAAAATGTAAACAAAAAATAAAAACGTAAATAAAGACTAAAAAATCATCTAAGACACTTATTCTTACTCTTCCATTATTTTAATTCATATATTTTATTTCAACATAAAGATTGTACTATAGAGGTTTCTACCATAAACTTTATGAAAAATTTTGCTGGTTTTAATTGCATCAAAACATCAACAAGAAAAATATGTTTCCGTTTCGTTTTCGTTTTTGTAAACTAATTTCCATAGATACAAAACTGCATAAGTATCGCATCGCATTAACGACCTGCTGTTAACAAATTGCTTGCTTTTATCTTATTCCTAATTAACTTTCCTTTGAAAATCTAATTATGCATAAACATTCGTGTCTCAGTAATGACGTACCGACTTCGGCAGGTCTCTTGGTCCCATCGTTGAACTTCTCAGTGAAATTGGACGGAACTGGACAGCAGACGATCTCGATGAAGCCGTCAAACCCGCATCTACCCGTGGAATCCCAGGATCTCCTGCCTTCTTGCACTTCTTTCAGCCTCGATGGACAATCATGTAGCTTCTTGCAAACACCCGTAGTGCCATTTTCAACCGTGCACTGACTACCCTCTAAAAAATACGAAGAAACAATCACCACCCCGTAACGAACATAAAAAGTCTCTCTTTCACCATAATTCATAGATAACGTGGACACAAAGCAGTAATTCCTATTAGTTTGGCTCTATCAGTAAAAATTCCTCAATATTGCGACCTAATTGTATTTCAAAAGATTTAGGTCTCACAAATAGAAACAAGATCGATGAATCAAGAGAATTCCCCATCGGATGTCGAAATGATTTCACATATTCTGAACTTCCAATGAACTGCGCAAACAGGCAAACGAATGGAAAACCACCTAAACAGGCTACTCCCACTCTTCCATTATTTCGTGTGATATTCCACTGTCGAATTAGCGACAAATTTCACAGAGGGTCCTACCCGAGAAAACGGAAGTTTTCATGAACATAGCACTAGACATCAAAGAACAACAAAAATCAAGTTTCTCGTAGACGCATTACACTTGTATCAATTACTCCTTGTCCAAGGAAAGATCGGGAAACCTCAATGTCACAGGGTGACGTCAAAAGCTCGCGTAGGCCAGGATCCATGGATTCCCGGCGTCCACCTAACGCTAAACGCTGGAGGGGGGCAAGCTTATCGTACGTCTGCACCGGCGGAATAAAAGGATGGCTCCGGTGGATTACGATTCCTTTCGTCGCGGAGAAACAAACATCTTCGTGGAAAGAAACGCGAAGAAAAGTCAAAAGAAAGATGTCAGCGATGAAAACCGGTTCATCGAGAATGATCGAGTATGATCCTGGCGACGCACAATAGTCCCTGTCAGCAACCCAATCGGACAAAAGTTCCGAAGTAAAAAAATTGTAATAAATAAGAGATAGGGAAGAAAAATTATATTTTTTTATATATTTGTGATTAAGCAATGCTAAAATTTGTTAATATCTTTTCTATAAAGCCCAATGAACAATCTAAGATAAAAATTATCTGGTCCCATGTGGTTTCTGAATTTCTACAGAGTTTTCAAGGTATAGTCGTGAACTATCTTCTAGTTATTTCGATATTTCCACCTTGAAAAATCTGTAAAAATTCAGGAACCTCGTGGAACCTAGAATTCTTGTGTTGTCTTGTTTATTTGGTTTTACAGAAAATATACCAAGAAATTTTCACTGCAAATGTTTGCAATTTTGCATAATTTCATAATCTTTCTTTAAACATAAATATGGAAATAATAAAGTAAAAAGTTTTAATATGAGCTAACATTTACTTATACTTTTTTATTAAATTAAATTAATTAAACCGTTCAATAAAGTTATTAATATTATTATATATTACATATAATTTCTTTAAAAAAGGGTGCATTTCTTTCGTTCTAATGAGTTACTTATCAATTGGGACTTTTATCCGGCTGCATTGCCGAAACGGACTACATACCGTGCGGCGAGCGACCGGTTCAATGGTTTACCATGCAGTTCCTTCTCGGTGCTGAAATTCGACAACGAGCCACCGAACAGTTGTGACAATACGATGAAAAGAATGAAGCTGCAGATCTCGGTGACAGTGACAGCCATGACGAAAGATGGGACGCGATCAGCTACGTCCGACACCCGATAAAGCAATCCGCGTGACGCGCAGATCAAGACTAAACTGATCGGCTCGGGGAATCGACGAAGTGACGCGATGAATCAGTTGACCAAGGGAAAGAGACTCGCAGAAAGATTCACGCTCGTCAGCTTCGTTCTCTCCCCGGTCGCTGAAGAAACCACGTAAGAGGCGATGCGACGAGACGTGACGCGAAACTAGTTGCCGCCTCGTGCGGCGTAATTTAGTGGACACGTTTTCACTTGTCGAAAACCGGATTTTAACGCCTTCATCTAGCTGGACCAGTACTAATATGTATTAAAATGACGTGTAATCTTATACTAAGCCCTTCTATTTACAGATGGAATTGGTGGGCCAAATGTAACTGTACAACTTATTAACTGTAGAATTTAGTTTCAAAAATCTTTAGTTCATACGCAATGAATTCAAAAAATGAAGTGGATACTCGTTAAACGCAGGACGGATGCACCTAGGGTATATTTTAATGAAAACCCGAAACAAAACAAAGAAGAGTTACATGTTTACTTGAAAAAATAAAGAATTCATCGTTTAAGAATTAGTTCCATTCCAAGCTTTGAAATGACATGTATGCACGTCAAACGCAGTTAAGTGGTTAACAAATTCGATACCGGTAACGTAGTTTTACGTAATTATAAATTCTTTGGTTGAATATTGATAATGAAGAGTTCCAGGTCATTTGACATTTTTTTAGAAGAATATCGATAACGTAGACCTACATTATTTACAATTTTTTCAGAAGAATGCTGATACGAAATCCTACATCATATTAAATTCTTCAGGTGAATACTAGTGACGTAGACCTACGTCATGTTTTATTTTTTTTAGGAAATAATGTATATCATTTGATATTAAATCACTTCAAAAGCTGTAGCTAAATATTGACAACACAGTTCTGTTATATATTTTTTATATTCGCACTTATTTGAATAACAGGCCCCTGCAATATTCAGCTGTAGATTTTAGGGTATTGTATGCGGTCGCGAATGCTTTAATTTCGTTCAATTATCCAAATATTTTTGAAAATCGTCACGAACTCTGTCATCTCTCTCACACGCAATCCATATTTTCTTCTTGTTTCACTGAAATTTGATTAAATACACATAATCTGTATCATCAAATACTTCCCATTTGAATAATTTCTATAATGGTAACTCGTTATACCTCCGTTGATCCGGCCTACTATCGTCGTCTTTGCATCGCACTGTTCTACAGAGAATTAATAATTCATTTTTTAAGTTAAGTGTACTATTGTATTGTATATAAATATTGAACAGTCATAAGTTAATTAAAATGTAACTACGGAAAATATAGAAACGTAATTATAAA